TTAACATGAGAAACTGAGAATTACAATTACTGTCCCCATTTTATTTACATGATCAAAACAAATTTTGCAATACTTAAAATGTGTCAGCATGAATTTGATCTATTCATGAGTGATCTTTTCTAGAAACCATTAAGCTTCTCTATAATCTCTCAATGGGAGAAAAAAAAATAGAAAATAATATTTGAATTTCATTTTAACTGTAGTACTTAAAATCATCCCAATTAATAATCGGGAGAAGTGAGTCTGATCAGATTAGACCCGATTACACCTGTTGACCTGAGATTTATAATTACCCATCATAATAATATAATAACTTGGAACATTTTTTTATAATATAGCTTAAAAAATTGATGGTAAAATAGTAAACTGGTGTCGATACAACAAAATTATAATAAAACCAGGAAACCTTTATATGAAATTTGATTTGATTCTCACAAAACCATCAAACCATCTTTAAGGAGATATTTTTAATACACGACTGTAAGGGATTATGGGGTTGATTTTGTGAGGATTAAATCCGAACTCCCTTTACATATTATTTAAGGTTCAAATTATCGATACGATACGCATTTCGGTCGTATCGTATTAGTACTTAGAAACGGCCAAAACATCTTTTTGTTTTTTTTCAAAGTTTGGTATTTTAAGAAATTTGAACATTTTTTTTATTATTAAAAAAAAGTTGGGGGTCCAAAACACCTGAAAATAGATGTTTCGGACCGTATCTTTTTCAAAAGATATGATACGATACACCCGATACGGGGCATATCATATCGATACTTTAAACCATGATATTATCAACCATGTAGGCGTTTGGCATCTCTATTAAATATGATTTTTTTAATTTGTGATTTTTAAAAATACAGGTGAAATGAAACAATTGTAAAACACTATGGTGTCGTGCAAACACCCATTATATAATCAATTGAAGTCTAACCACAAGAGCCAGTCCGGGTTCAATTATTAATCCGTTCTGTGGATAGACCGCGCGTAGACCTGACACCGCAACTCACTCCAGATCCAGTGCATTTGAATTTGGAGGAATTTTCCCTTCAAGTCCACTTAATTCGTGGCATGTCAAAAGTAAACTAGAGTATGTTCTAAGGGGCGCCTATCTGAATTTGAATTGGTTATCAGAACAAAGCCTTCTTTTCCCCTCCAAACAAATATCTTTTTATTACCAAAGACAAACACATTAATGAATAAGAACATGAAAATTGAGAAACCCATTTTCATCAACTCTAGTGAGTAGACATTTCTCTAGCTAGCAAGAAGCTCTCTTGAACGGAAAACCATTTGTCTAAGAAGACAATTTTGCTCATCCACTCCGGTGACCTTTCATCTGTTTGGCATCGATGTCGTTGTTTTAGAAAATGGTGATACATCAGCACCATGTTGGAAAAAACGGTGTTTAAGACAATTTTTCTCATCCACTCCGGTGACCTCGCATCTGTTTGGAATCGATGCCATTGCTCTAGAAGATGGTGACACATCAGTGCCATGTCGAAAAAAATGGTGTTCCAGGAAACGCCTGTTTGTTTGGAACCATTTTTCTATAAAAAAACGGTGCTCCAAGCCACACCTTGGAAATTAAGAAGGCGTGGTTTGGAGCAACGCCAAATTTGGTGTTTTCTCAAATTGCAGCTCGTTGCTGCCAACGAGGACGTGATGTGGCAGTGACATGGACTTCCTATAATGGGTTCCAATGCTGAAAACAGACATGGAGCACTGATACCAAACAGAAAGTATTGTTGTTGCTCCAAGAAATGTCCTACTTGGCAGCAACATTTCCAAAGAAAAAAAAATACCGTTTTCTCAAAAAACGGTGCTTTCAACCCACACATCAGTAGCACTGTTTTCAAACGGTGCTATATCTATAGCATCGATGCCAAACATATACCTAGAGTCTCTTATCCAGCAAATTCTGCTCAATTTTTTTTTTCTTTTTTCAACAACTATAGCAAGATAACCATTTGCCGATGAAGGCGCTTTTCTTTTGCTAACAATCTTTGTTAATGACCTTAATATCTTTGTTAATGTCTTCTCCAAAAAGCTCCGTTAGGCAATATTTAAAGTTTAAACACCTGGGTATTATAAATTTTTTGTGAAGTTCAACAATAGACTAAGGGTCCGTTTGGTTTGCAGTCAGAATTGGAATAAGAATGGTCTATTCCCATAATCTGTTTGGTTCAAACATAAATAAGAATGGGAATTGGAATAAGCAAGAATGAGATTTCATTCTCAAGGGAGGGGTAGGGAATGGCCATTCCCTCAAATGGGGGAATGCCATTCCAGCAAGAATGAGAATGAGATTTCGATTATGCCCAACCAAACAACTGGAATTGGAATAGATCATTCTGATTCTGATTTCGATTCCGATTCCAATTCCAGACCCCTATTCCTGCAAACCAAATGGGGCTTTATAAGCATATCGATTTTGATCAAAAGGAATAACGGGTTAAAGGTTTGGCCAACATCAAATTTTATCGACAATGTAGCGTTTGATAAATCTGAAATCTGAAAAGTTAAAAAGATATTATTTCATTATTTGTGTTTTAAATCTGAAAAGAAGTATAAATGCTTTTCTACTTTTTAGAGACTCTAAATAGATACTTTTTTGTTTTGGATCAATTATCCCACATCTGAAATTGCTTGGTTTTACTATTTTGCCCCTATAATAGACTATTTGGTAGTTTTGAATTCAGTTGGCACTATTTCATACATTATCATTCAAAAAATCATTAACCAATAAATAATATTAAAAGCATTAAAATGTTAAAAATTATAAAAAAATAATAATTAAAAATACATTACTAAAAATTAAAATAATATTAAAAATAGGAATAAATTCCATGAAGTAATGAAAAATATTTAATAAGTAGAAAAATAATATCTTAAAAGGTAATAAAATATATAATAATTAATAAATAATAAATTATTTAATAATTAACATGAATAAAAATTATAAAAAATTAAATTTAAAAATAAGTTATTAAAAAATAAAATAATATTAAAAATATGAATAAATTAATAAATAATAAAAATATTAATAAATAAAAAATAATATCTGAAAATTCAATAAAATGTTTATAATAAAAATAAAATATTTCATAATTAATACAAATAAAAAATTAAAAATAAATTATTAAAAAATAAAAATAATATGGACATACTGATAAATTCCATGAAGCAATGAAAAATATTTAATAATTAGCAAAAACAATTTATTAAAAAGTTATAAAATATTTAATAATTAATTTAAAAAACAAGATATTTAATAATTATTATGAATAAAAATTATAAAAATAAAATAAAATTTATAATTATATTCAAACTTGCCCATTTATTATTTGTCACTGTTACGAAGATAAGCCATGCAAATAAGCATGGAAACAACACATTTGGACTCTACCAGAGTGAGATATTGCAATGGACTATTTTCACCCAAGTCCTTTTTATGCACTCTTAACAACTGGAATGTGCATTATTGTCTTTCCCATGGAGATGGATATGGTCCTTGCATATATACGTCTCCATGAATGTCTTGTAGGCCATTCTTTAGGCTGAGTTTGGAAGGAGTACAAATGCAAATATGTAGAATGCAAAACCTTATATTTTGTATGTATTTACGCTGTACATATTTACATTTCTACTGCTTCCAAACTGAGCCTTAGAAGGTGTTTTGCTTTCCAAGTGGGCAAAGCATTAGCTAAAGGAATATATGTAGAAGCCCATTTGTTTAATCCACCTTCTATTTCACTAGTTATGAGTTTGAGAAGTATTGGAGAGAAAGCCAGGTCTGCACATAATTCTGCTGTTTTCTCTTTTCAAATTTTGCTTGGCTATTCCTATTTTATAGTGGTATTAATTAGCAAACCAATCAAGAGAAGCACAGGAAATATTACCACACCATCTCAGTTTAACATTAATATAGTTGTTTCACAAACTTAAGAATAGTTACTACATCAGGCTTGACAACATTCTAGTTTAAATGAAAATTACATAAATACTATTACAAAGTGCCATCATTTTCCCAACCCTGCTCCAACTATTCCAATGGACTTACAAAAACCAGCCAACACCAAAAGGTCTTCCTTCAGCTATTGCATAAACTTCAATAAAATCAAAACAATATTAGAACCTGAAAGGTCACATGCAAGAGAGAGAGAGAGATAAAAGATGGATTATTTTGAGCACTAGGATTGCATCTAATTTATTATGCTCATATGGCTGTGTACAATGTTATAGACAACTTCATCCTATGTTTTTCCATCTTAAGTTATACCATATATATTTGACTTAATTTTGTTTTATTTTTTGTTACTACTTGTTTTGCATAATCAAACTTTAAAGATTACAATAAAATCATATGACAAGATATCTCTAACCGAAGGGAAGGTATTATTACTACAAGAAATATAACCTTCAGCCATGGACAAAATAACCGTAGCTATAAATCTATAGCTACAGACAGAAAACCGTAACTTATGTTTGCGTGGCTATAACTCATCTATAGCTACGGTTTTTGTCTGTAGCTAAAGGATGGATTTAAACCATACAAACCTTTAGCCACAGACTGAACCATAGCTAAAAAGATGCATATTGCTACGGTTTGTAACTACAGTTTTTATTTATAGCCATGGTTCATTATAAAACTGTAGTTAAATGTAGCAACCAATAACTACAGTATTTTGTCAAAACCGTGGCTAAAAGAAGCAATCTATAGCCACGGTTTTTGTAAAACCGTAGCTATATGTACAAACCTTTTTAACTACGGTTTTATACGAAACTGAAACTATATACATCATATTATAACTACGGTTTGGACAAACTGTGGCTAAAACCTGACTATGGCCACGGTTCATTCCAAAAATGTAGTTAATTGTTTCAATCTAACAATGGTTTTTTTTTTAAATAACGATAAAATACCTGTTCCATTCATACATTCCGTAACTAATTATTCAAATTAAAATAGTAAAATAGCAATAATCGATACTACCACCTTAAAGCAATGTCTATTTCATTCATACATCAAATGAAAATTATATATTGTAATAAGAAACTACATGCCATGTATAATTTGATACATCCATTGTGCTACCAACAAAAATATATTACAAATGTCAAATTTTCCTCGCTACATATTAAAGACAAGATGACCTTCAAATAAACAAAATCTAAATATAAAAGAAATATTCATTGTCTCCAACCATGCTTTGAGTCACTCATTGAATGAAAACCTACAAAGAAAAACAAAAAAGAAAGGTTAAAACAAGGACTAATTTGATGATCTAATTAAATATACAACATACAATGAAAAAATAAGTGAAAGAAGCTAGGTAACTAAAATCAATAGTATGTCAATGCAAGATAAATATTAAATTTCTAATTAAATGTGTTTGGTGCACTTGTTTGACTACTTTCTCATGAGAAAAGATGAAAAATATATTGCTTGTAAGTTATGCCCCGCATCAGCTTGGCATTAGAGTAGTCTTAGATTAAGGTGAGGTATTTGGTTATATGAGCAGTGGTTCTTTGGGCCTTTAGTCGGTGGACAACGTTAGTAATAAAATCTCTTTCCTAGATTTTCCATTGAACAACTCAATTAGATGGATCCTAAGGTTGACTGGCCCGTTAGCTTAATGGGTAGGAGAAAGGAGGAAAATTTTGAATTTTATTTGATTTATTTTTTTCTCCATTTTGTGAATTTGTTGCTTGTAGTTTCCGTAGTTTTTGACATTAATATTATCTATTATTGATAAGGAACTAGGACATGTTTTAGCAGCATAGGAGTTAGGATCCTCTGTCTAAAAAGTTGGAACTGAGTTTTGATCTCAGATTGTTGCAATTTTCTGGTAGAATTTAGCATTCTCATGGTCATACTCAAGAATCAACTTGTTGGCATTCTGCATCCATCCACAATGTAGTAATTTCAATTTCTACTTGCGCAAAGAGCTCTAATGTCAAGTTTTCAACACTAGACACAATACCTTACTCCTTTGAACAAATTTCCTGCCATCTAAATCTTCTAGTTAATTAATTATGCTAAACACTTAACAAAGAGGAGCTTCTCCTATATCTATGATTTTAGAATATAGGAAGCCTCTGATGGCCCCTTCACCTTTAAATGGCATTTTTAGATTTCCATTTATCCATTTTATTGGGGGTAATATTTTTACATTCCAAGGAAAGCCAAATTCTGGAGCTCATGTCATAACCAAGAATACCCTTGATGCTAATCTATGTTTAGTGACCTTTATTTGGCTCCATAGTTAATCAAATGTATTTTTTGAGATGTTTAGTTTAATTTTTGGCTTGATTTGCTATATTAAATTTCTGTAAGGTTATGCAAGTACATAGAAACATATGAGATTGACTAATCGATACCAAAACTGGTAGTTTGCTAAGAGAAATCTATATGGTCCACTGCTTGTGTAGATAAATCTATGTAAATGCATATTTAATATTTCATTAAATAATGTCTTGCTTTTCAAATATTAGGCACTGAAAAACAAGATGGAATCAATACTATGCTACTACCAACCCTAGGGGGTATAGCTCTGCACCAAACCTCACTAACAGGGAAAGGGGAAAGGGTAGGACTAGTGGACTGACTTAAGACTTTGAAGAACGACACACAAGAGAAAATGCCATTGGGGGTAGGTGTCCAAATTCTAGAATCCGCCCTAGTGGGGTCTAAGACAACGTTATCAAGAAGTGCAATAAGGCTCGAGATACTGTCTAAGTCTGAGTCCCTCAAATCCCTTCTTAGACCCAAGTTCCACCCAATCCCA